GCCTGGGCCTCCAGTAGTAAATCTACACTGTCTAACGCCATGAGCATCTGTTTCTTGGCCTCTGATAAAGACAGTTTCCCTAAAGGTCCAGCCACCACACCAGCAATCACTCCTGTCCCCTTTAGAGAGATCTTCTTGTCTGCAGACACCTCTGGGACAGTCTTCTCCCCCTTCAGTAGTTGGTTAAATGTTGGTTTGTCCAGCACCCCACAATCAAGCAAGTCCTTTGCTGTTACTGGTTTACGTACACCATCAAAGACCAGTTTAGTAGGATCTAGTTTCTCTGAGACTGGCAAAAGTAGCAGACCAGTATGAGGCTCTATCTTGCATCTTTTTTTCAAAGTCTCATAGCTGGCATCATGCTCAGTTTCCGGGTCAATGTAACATTCAGGATCTTGTTTCAGAGCATGGCGAAGGTTTTCATCTAAAAGGTTGCGCTTAATAGCTGTGTCTTTAGGCAGGAACACACTGAGATTGGGATCTAGAATTCCTCCCACTGATTCTTGGGCCTGCAGTAGACGCAGTGCAGTCTTATTGTCAATCAATCCTTTCTTCATGGCCTCAAACACTGAGAGAGGATTGGCAACTTTAGGATCCTTGTAGCCAACAGCAGCGGCCTCAGCTGCCAATAATTTGTCTCTATCTCTTATATCCACTACTCCTCTGGTGCATGCCTCTTCTACAGTCAACTTCTGATTTGTTTGAGGGTCAATTATATGACCAGTTGCAGCCTGCGCTTCTAGTAGCAAATCTGCAGTATCCTCAGGTAGCAACATTTGTCTCTTGGCTTCTGACAAGGACATTTTGCCTTGCTTCCCAGCTACCACCCCAGCAATTGGCCCAGTCCCCTTCAGATTGACATTTTTATCAACAGACACTTCTGGGATGGTTTTCTTCCCCTTTTCTAGATCTTTAAATGTTGGCTTGTCCAGGACACTGCAATCCAGCAGCTGCTTGGCTGTGACAGGTTTTCGAACACCATCAAAAATAAGTTTGGAGGGATCTATCTTCTCAGTGACAGGAAGAAGAAGAAGGCCCGTGTGTGGTTCTACCTTACATCTTCTCTTCATTGACATATAACTTACACCGTCCTCGTTTTCTGGGTCCAGGTAGAGCTCAGGTCTTTGACTCAAAGCACGGCATAAGTTGTCATCAATTAGGCCACGCTCAATGGCTGTGTCTTTGGGAAGGAACACACTGAGTACTGGATCTAGAATGCCCCCCACAGACTCCTGAGCTTGTAAAAGACGCAGTGTTGTGTTTCTGTCAATTAGTCCCATCTTCATGGCCTGAAATACTGAAAGAGGTTTATTTGTCCCAGGTCCATTATACCCTACAGCTGCAGCTTCTGCTGCTAGCAACCTCTCTCTGTCCTTATCATCAATCACACCATGATTACATGCTTCTTCAACTGTCAACTTTTGATTAGTTCTGGGGTCAATTATGTGTCCTGTAGCGGCTTGAGCATCCAGAAGCAAATTGATGGCATCTGCTGGGAGGAGATTTTCATTCTTGGCTTCAGTGAAAGTCAGTTTTGCAAACTGAGGTCCAGAAATGGAGCCTGGACCTTTTAGACCTTCAACTACCACCCCGGCTATTGGGCCTGTACCTTTTAAATTGACTTTTTTGTCAACAGACACTTCAGGGACAGTCCTATGTCCCTTCACCAGCTGGTTACATGTTTGTTTATCCAAAACACCACAATTGAGCAACTGGTCTGCTGTCACTGTCTTACGGACTCCATCAAAAATCAGAGTGGAAGGATCCAAGGTTGGGGGTTCTCTGGCAGTCTTCAGTTCAGTTTCTATGTTCTTTCTGACAATGGTGACCTCATGTAATTCTTTCTGGGTGGCTGACAGTTTAATTTTATATGACTCTTCAAGCTCACGTAACTCTCTCATCAGCCTTTCTATCTCACTTTTCAAAGATTTCTTTTCCCTCTCCGAAATATCCTTGTCTGTCTCATACTGCCTAATCAGGCCATGTTTGCTATCACACTGGTCCTTCCAGTGACTTAAATCCCTCTTCACTCTTTCGTTCTCCTCCTGTAGACGCTGCTTATTGCGATACTCAGATTCTAAGGACAGTTTAATGCGGCTGAGTTCCTCCTCTAGTCTTAAGATGTGGTCTTTGTCCTTTTCTGACAACTGCAATTTCAGCAACAGAGTGTCTCTCTCGGTTACAATTTCATTATACTGGGACTGAAGGGATTGCATGGTGGCTCTTATCTGCAGGAAATAAAGAGAGAGAAAAGAGACGAGAAGTTACTCAACTCAAAAATACTCATATATTAACAGTATAGATGAGGAACCTCATTTATTTCTTTTTCATTTTTTGTATACAACCAGTGGTTATTGAGGACAGTGCACATTCTTGCTCTTTTCAATCTTTCACAGTGCAAGAATTCTTTCTGCGGAAAGAATGTTTGGGTGCACAGCTTATTTAGAAACAATAAAAGCATTTTCTCAAAAAAGTTTTGTTGTCGTTACAACTCAAGCCTTTTTACATTTTTGTAAAAGAAAAACAGCTGGCAATAGTGTTAAAAGTTGAAATATAAAAAGCAAGTCTGTGCCTGTTCTGCCAAATTGTCATTTGGTTTGCTATACTAGTGATATAACAAAAAATGGCTAATTCTATTTAACAACCAGAAAGCAAGACTGATTTGCAAAACAGCACAGATACATAAAACCAATAGATGTGGGCCAATCGTGATCACCTGATTTTAGTTTGCAAGAGGAGTTGTCATAAGCATTTTTGGAAACTGTAAATTTCTGAAGTCATGCCAGTGCTGTTTTACAAGATTGCAAAAGGTGTCTTTAAGCCCATTAAGATGTACTAAAAATATAAGAAACAATGATCAGAATCTAGTAGACCAGGAAACCAGCGGCAGTGATGGTGCTGATCATTCTGGGCAAATAAAGTGACCCCAAAAAAGCAAGCGAACTGCACTAACTCTAACCCTTAACTCCCCATCTTTCCACAGTGTGTACAGGGAGACAGTGGAATAGGAAGGCTGTCAGGTAGAGAGGCGCAGATTATGTTTGCATGCGAGTTTATACACATGCAAGTTTATTCAAACACATACAGACAGTATGTGTTCAAATCAGAGTTGCATCTACAAGAGGCACTCCAGCATGCAAGGAAAGGGTTTGCTTCAGACTAGCTAGAGCTACAGTTGCTACTTGAATGCTTCAAGTGGTGAAGACTCTGATTTGGAAAGACGAGAACAGTCCAGGACTAAGCACCAAACTTCCATGTACCTCGGTGGCCTGCGTTTGTATTTTCTCAGTCTCCACTTTGAGTTTCTCCCTCTCAGAGGAGAGCTCGGAGACCAGGTTGCGGTAGTCTAAATTACTGCGCTCACTGGCCTGTAGCTGCAGCTCCAGCGCAGTAATCTGCGAGGAGAGCTCATCATCACTTCCCTGTTTGGCCCTCAAGAGTTCATCTTTCTCATGTCGTGTTGTCCTTAGCTCCTCATCCAGTCTCAGCCTCTCTTTGGTCTGAGCTTCTGTCAGCTCCTTCAGCCTTTGAAGCTCAACTGAGTTCGCATTCAGTATCTTGCTTTTCTCCTCTATAGATTTATAAAGACCTTCATTCCTGAGGTTTGCCTCTTTGACTTTGAGCTGCTCCTCAAGCAGCTGCTGCTGAAGGGCTTTCAGGTCAGAGCTCAGCTGTGTGATGTGCTCTGCAGAGGTCTTGTTCTGTCTCAAGCTTTTCTCTAGCTCCTCCTGCAACTGAAGACGCTCTTCTTCACCTCTCTTTTCGGAATTGCTGGCTTGTTCTTGGCTTTGGCGTAGTGCAACGATAGTGCTGCTGTGTTCTGCCAGGGTCATATTGGTCTTCTCTAGCTCTGACTCGATCTGCCTTCTTCTGGCTACTTCTTCTTGGTTAGCTTGCCGCAAATTCTCCACCTGGCTCTCAAGTCCATCTCTTACAGCTTGGAGGTCCTTGATGCGTCCCTGTAAGCTTCTCATATTTTGCTCAACTCTGCTTCGCTCCCTGCTTTCTCTCTCCAGCTCCAATCGCAGTTTCTGAAGCTCCTCCTTGTACTCCCGCCCCTGGGTTACAGCCACTGATGAATTAGTTAGCTTCACTTGCAGCTGGGACAGAGTCTGTTCAAGCACACCCTGACCTTCTTCCGCAGTTTGTCTTCTGCGGGTCTCCTCCTCTAGACTGTGTGTGACATAAGCCAGTCGGTCACTCGTCTCCTGCAGGTCCTTCCTAACCTCAGCCAGCTCTGCTCTATACTGGCTACTTTGCTCGTCTCTCTGCCTCATCAACAGTTCCACCTGACTTTCCAATTCTCTTCTCTTGCGGCCTTCCTCGATGATTACAGCCCGCTGAGTGTGAGCTTCCTCATCTGCTGCCTTCCTTTGTTCCTCAACCTGGCTGATAGATATTCGGAGTCTCCGTAGCTCCTCCTCGAGATTCCTCCTCTCTGCCTCCATCCTGTCATACTGCAGCTGGAGCTCCACTGTATCCTCGTCCCTCTCAGCTGCCAGCCTTTGCATGTCTGCATGGCTGACGTGGATCTGAGATTCGTAGCTGAGCTTTAAGTTATTGATCTCCGTACTGTATTGGCTCCTTACCTTTGATATCTCCTTCTGCAGCTCCATGAACCTTGCTGTCTCGTCAGCAAGCTGTCGCCGGAGCTGTTCAATCTCAAGCTCTTTATTTGACAAAGTCTTCTCCACCTCCACCTTGGACCAACTGACTGTCTCCAGCTCGTTCTGCCTCTTTCTCAGCACTGCTTCATACTCTTCTTGCTGCTGAGTGTAGCGCTCTTCTGCTAGCTTCCTCTTCCTCTTTTCTTCATCCAGCAAGTAGTTGAGACGTTCCACCTGATCTCTGAGGCCTGCCAGCTGGCTCTGTGTGTTATCTAGGTTCTCCTTGGTGGCACTGCACTGCAACGATGCAGTTTGTTTCACCTCCTCCATTGACAGCAACTGTTCTTTTGACTGGTTCAGCTCCCGTTGGTACTGAGCAAGAGCATCTTCCAGTGATTTGTTCTTGGCGTTGCGGTCTCTCATATCGTCTCTCAGAAGGCGAAGTTCTTCTTCTAACAGGTCAATCCTTGTGTTACGAATCTGAAGGAAAGACAAAGAAAAGATGAATACAAATGTGTTTTTAAAAATGATAAATTAAACTTTCATTATTATTTTTTACCCACTTGTGTTGTGGTTAACAAGTATCCAGCATAACATTTGCTTAGCACAACCCTATTAACACCACATTCATATCGTGTTGCCATGAAGAAACCTTCCATTCAGTTTGAGGCAAATCCAAAACCCCCAACCAGTTCTGACAGATACCTATGCCTTCCTGTTAAAAGGGAGTTTTTCCTTCCCACTGTCACCAAATGCTTGTTTATGGGGAGTGGGGGAGGGGGCGAGATGTTGTCATCTCATCGGATCGTTGGGTTTTTCTGTGTTATTATAGAGTTTCATTTGCCATTATAATTAATTGAATTAAAAAAAACTATAGTTATCTCATGTCTCTTGCGTTTTCCACCAACTTTTCTGTATTTTAGGTCTTATTGAACAAAAAACTGCTTTTTTAAAAATCTTGATCATACTATAGAAGGTTATCCATATGAAACCACACACTTGGCTAACAGGTTATCAATCATAAGACGTGTGGTTGTGAGTTAGTGACAATGAAAAGACTCATCTTGAGACTACAAAACGGTTCTTAAATAACTAATAATCTGTCCATGGAGGTTGCTTGTACTTACAAAGTGAAATTAGTCACAAATGAGGTATGTGGTTTATCTCAACAAAACCTCCCTGTAATTGCTTTGTTCACTAACAGATTACTACAGTCATCCATAGCTACACTGTTATTATCTTAGTTTGCAACCATAACTTACTAACACTAAACTGCACCTTTAGCACAATGTCCAGCTGTGAAAGATATATTTTTCTCTAGATTGATACCATCTGATCTCAGAAGCTAAGTAGCATTGTGCCTGGTTAGTACTTGAATGGGAATACACATTTTTCCTTACCAAATGGTCTGCCTGGGAGTAGGCTACCAGTCTATAGTCCTATGTGAGAAAAAAAATTTGCTTTCCATAGGATACTAATATCCAACATAGTGGATAGTAGGTTGCTTATTATGACTAGCTGCAACTTAGTCACAACATATGTCCTTGGCATTGGTCATATCTAAGTGAACTTTACTCTCTTTATACTGAAACTCATGTATATAGCATCTGTAGTCTGTCAGTTCTTGGACAGTCAGTAACATCGCATTGTATGCAATGCGTGTCTTAATACTCTGTTAGCTGATGGATATTAATACACCGAGTTCATGAGCAAAAGACGCATGTAAATGGGAGCAACACAATACTGACTGCAGGTGATGTTATTAACAACAATGGTTTGCTGGAAGGTATAAAGGAGTTCCTTTAACTTTAACGTTATATCAAAGATTAGGTGACAGATTTACCCCAAATTCTCATTCATAATCCCTGGGCAGTTTGATGACAAGATGTCATAAACAGAAAGAAAGAAAAAGAAGAAGAAAAAAGAAAGAAAACCATGATTACATCCAACAAGATATTTTTGGATGTTCAGCATTGGAGATCCGTACCTTGAGCTCCTCCATGTTTCTGAGCAAATCTCCTAGAAATCTGTAGTAGTCGTCAGAAAGGGTAAGCAACTCCATATATCGAGTCTGCAGTTGGGTAGCCTGGAACAGAGACAAATTTAATTTTAATTTTAAAAAAACATCAGGAAAATCAACTCTAACCTACAAGAAAAAACATGTCATGTACTAATGGTTTACTACATGTCTAATGTTTTTACTACAGTTGCATTACTTCATGATTGAGATCCACTGACGGCGACTTCAGCATTGTCCTCTTCACTGGGATGTTGAGCAAAGTTTCTAAACCAGAGGTGTAAGCTGCAAGGTCTGTTTCATAGTCCTGTTAAAAATAAAAATGAATAAATAAATAGAGGAAGTTGATCTTTTAATGAATCTGAGGCCAAATGCACTCGATTATTGACCTACTTACCTTGATAGCGTTCACACAGGCTTCATTGTCCTTCAGCACACTATCTACTGTCTCCCTCCTCACCTTGATTTCTGCATTCAGAGCCTAGAGAAACCCACAAAGTACAGATGTCAGGTATCTGATGTCTTCACAGAAAATTATTGGAAGTAGCTCTAATAATAGCAAAAGTTCAGCATATTACCTTCTGGTTGTTAATGAGGTCTTCCAGTGCTTGAACATTTTCTATCTTGGTGGCCTGTAGAGCCACCTGTTTTCTGCGAGTGGCTTCAATCCATTCAAGAATGGAAGTGCTGGTTTGCTTGTAGTGTTGCAGCTGAGGCAGATATGATCGAAGGTCCTGCATTCTGAGCAAGTGGAAGAGACGACCAGCATAAGTGAGTTATGTCACTTTTACTCAAACGCTCTCATGCCAAGTTTACAGATTAATATTGTTTTTTTTATTACATTTAAAATACTGAAGCAACAAATGTTTTGTGCTTTGCTCGATCATTTTCTGCCAATCACAAACTGACATATGTGTACGTGAATAAGATGTTTTAAAAATAGATTCACATGTGTACAAGCAGCCTCATATACATATGGTTGAATATGGAATGAGTTATTTACTGCATGACTGCAAAGTCTTCAATTTGACATTAACAGCCAGTTATTATTAAAAACTGACAGAGCAGCATACCTCGTATCGAGCTGTAATTGGATTCGTCTCCAGCGGTCTGACAGCATGTTCACATCTTCTGTGTATTTTGTTAGCATCAGGTCACACCTGTGGGAGGATCCGCCCACCTGGCCGTTCCAGTGGCTCGCCTTGGACAACTCTGCCTCCATAGCATTTAGAATACCTTTCTTCTGATCCAGCTCTGCTTTGATGTTCTGCACATCGACACACGACACAACATCAATCATACAACTGCATCCACAGTATAATAAAAATCAGCCTGATAAGTGGAATTAAAGCATATGTCACAGCACAAAGGATATAAGAAAAATAGGGCAGTATTCACAAATGATTGGTCTGCTATTATCAAAGAGTAGGAAAACACCATTATCTTGCAAAAATACCTTCAGAGTCGACATATATTCCTCCACTTCCTCAGGAGACAGAGAAGTGGTCTCCTTTTCTGTCATTCTTGCTTCATAAACTTTCACAATGTCCTCGGCTCGTGCCACACTCTCCAGCATGTCCCTTAGAGCTCGTAGCCTAAAACAAGCATATGGAATAATCAAATATGCAAATATGCAAGGCATATGTGTGTTTGTCATAATGTAGATTATCTGTATGTAAAAGTATCTTTTTTTGCAGATAATAATTGATCTTACAGTGCACAGTTATTAACTGTGCTTTTAAATTAATCAGAAGAACACACTAAGCTTTACGCCATCGTTTTGAGGTTTTGCCTTGTGTTACGTACCGCTGAACATAAGCTGATGAGCTGCTCTCCAGGCTGCCCAGTCTTTGGTTAATCACTCCAATCTCGCTGCGGAGGAACTGAGCTTTGTCTAAATCATTCACGCTTTCCAGCTCGTTTAGAATGCGCTCCTTCAAAAGTAAGTACTCAGCACGCATCGAGTCCACATCACGCTGCACAGTCTGAAAGATGCACATATATGTGTCGCGATAAATACAGGGTCGTTTTTGTTTTCATTCTACATGCATTTCTGTTATTCTTATATTTTATGCTTTCACCTCTAACTGAGAGATCTTGAGGCTACAGTCCTGCACGCAGTTGTCTCCGAAGCAGACATGGATGTGCTGACTCAGCATGTCTTCAGCGGCCTCCAGCCTCAATCTGAGCGAGTGCAGCTCTAATAAGCTGTGAGATGATGATGATGATGATGATGATGATGTGGATACCTTCCTCTTTCCTGCGTCCGTCTTGGTCACTTTTATCACTTCCTTCTTCACCACCTCTTTCTTTGCCTCTGCTTTCTTCTCGGCCTGTCTTCTGAGCTCTGCTCTCCGTCTTTCTTCTTCAAGCCTCCTGGCCTCCTCTTGGCGCATCCTGGCCTCTTCTTCAAGCCTCCAGGCCTCTTCTTGGCGCATCCTGGCCTCTTCTTCAAGCCTCCTTGCGTCTTCTGCAGCAGCAGCTTGTACTTGCTGCTGCTGTAATATAATCAGCTGGTGTTGTTGCCCAGATGTTTGCTGTAATTGTTCCTGCTGGACAACTGTGGACAAAACGATTTTTAAAAAACAGATAAAAGTCTTTTCAAAAGTTCACTAGATTCACTTATTTAATTCAATTATTCCATTATCCAGCACACAGACTCAAATGCATACTGTATACTGTACTTTACTGTAATATACTGAAATACGTACTAAAAATATTGAATTTGAGCAATGTTTATATACAAGTCTAAGAGACATCCGGCTAAAAAAACAAAAGCCAAGAAGTGCAAGAATAAACATATGGAGCTGAAAATGAGCGCAAGAGGTCCATCTGATATATGAGACTGAATAGAAATGTACAGAATAAACAGAACGTGTACTTGCGAGGTGATCATTACTACAAACACTTACTGTAAGTAGGTATCTGCACCACTAGCTGTTCATAGTGGGTCTGGGCATCATTGACCTGGTTCTCTATGCTCCTCTTGTCCTCATCAGCAAACATCTGGGAATTTACACTGTTCACTATAAACTCATCATAGTGAGTCTCCATGCTCTTGATCATTTTCCGGTACTCCTCTGGGCGCATCTTGGCCAACTGAACAGACACAGAAACATTAAGTTTAATTTGGACCCAAACAGATCTTTTCACCGAGAAGGAGAGGTCAGAGGTCAAATGTGACATGCTATTTTAAATCTTTGGTACCTTCTTTATGTTGACGATACTCACCACACATAGTTTCTAAGTTCTAAGGCTATTTTTATAAATTAATTTTCCACCAATAAATCATCAAGTGTTATAAGAATAACAGTGCAGTAAAATGATTGTGTGTGTTTTTTTAACACAAAGTACAAACTGGAGCCGTGAAAAGTTGCAAAAGGGACTTTGGTTTGGAGCAGCGGGTTTCGAGAGATGCTTAAATGTCTGTTTGAATGCCACAGAGTTATGCAGCACTCCAAAGTGTGCAACTATGGGAGCTGTTTCCCAGCATCTGGAGGTGGCTCAGGATGAGAGACGTTTACACACTTTTTAAGCCCATATTAAATGGAAGACTACAGCTGTTGGCTTAGAACAAACTGTAAAAGCAAAAACCCACCTTTAAAACCAAATAATTAAACGTTAATTAACACCATGTCACAACTTTTATTATGACCATTTGTTTTCTCCTTTGATACCTTGCAAGAGAGCAAAAGTTTGACTTTGACGTATGACTAAATATTTTTTACAGACAGCAGAGGCCGACTTTCAACACCTTGTCGGTCCTTACCATGGAGATGGTGAGGGAGTTGATGCGTTGGATATCCATGACGCAGTACTGCCAGGAGATGAGACTCTTGACGTTGATATAAAGCTGGCTCCAGATTGACAGGATTGCTTCGTAGTACTGCTCGTTTCTTTGCACGACACACAGGTGAAATTTAAAGGTTTCAGGATTATCTTTCCATCCAGAGCAAGAGTTATACAATCACCTTTAACAGTAAATGTCCAAATCAAAGCATTTTTTGTTTCTTACTTGTTGGCGAGACTGATGCTGATTGGATTAGGTGGCGGTACAATCAGGCACACAGAGGGCACCAACATATCCAGACCCCCCGGGCCAGTCACCAGCCACTTACTGCGCTGGTTGTTGTCCTTTAGGATAGCCTCATTGCCCTTAAGGATCACCTTCTGTGAGCCCAAAGGTCACATAAAACACATAAAACACATGAAACACAAGTTAGAATAAAAGAAAGAGAGAATGTCGGTGCAACGTAAAGTAAAAAATAAAAATACCAATATGTGTTTAACTTTGACATCTGAAAACTGACCTGGTCCTGCTTGAAGTCGCACAGAGCCTTGACAATGACGCCGCTGGTGTTCTTCTCTTCAGGGTTTCTGGGTTTCAGTCTCACGATCTCCTTGGACTTGCTGACCAGGTGTTTAACCTGCCTCCTATTTTCCACAATCTTCTCCTTTTCCCTCTGAAGACAAAAAAGGTTTCAGTCAACCTGCCACTGTTTAGCCATTAACAACTGCTTTACTTTTCTAATTCGCCAACATTTTTGTCTCTCTGTAAATAATGAAGTCACACAGAATGGCCTGTCCTGTATGAAACATATGACCTGCAATCCAGAACTGGTTTGGTTTTTTTTTAGAGTTCTGTTTCCATTTTTGTAACTAATGCCATAACTACTAGGCATGCAGTCTGCCTTTACAGTACAAATAATGTTTCTTTTAAAAGAATGGGCTGAATTTGAGCATGTCTGTAACAAGATGCCAACAACCAAAATAGTACTTTCTATTGTTTGGCAAAAGTTTGAGGGCTAAGATGCGTGTTTCTCCTGGACTGTAAAAACTGGGGTTCTGGTCCAGAATGAGTAAAAGAAACATTTTGGTCATTCGAAGGTATTATCCAATGGTATTGGAGTTGCTTCACTATTAGGTGGTACACTCAAAACTAATTTGTCCAAAATCCTGCCCATTTTTTAATTATGTGTAAATGTTCTATGTGATTTTATAACATAAGTACAATAAGTAAAACGTTAAATTCAAAGAAAACTTTTTTTACATTCAGTTTATTCCGAGCAACCTCTCCTGATGAATTATGGAGATGCTGGTAATGGTGTTGTGGTTCTTTTTTGGGGGTTTTGTTTTGGTTTGTTTGTTTTTCCATAACTCGTGTATCTGCAAATATACACATTCTGTATTTTTCATATGAAAGAAACTATACTGTGGTGGGGCTTGCTAATTTCTTGTTTTTGATTTATGTATGTTTTGTTTTGTTTTGCTTTACTTCATATGTTTCATATGTTGTTTGTTTAATTTAAGACAAAAAAAATTAAATGAATGAGAGGTAAAACTTGAGGGGGTAGGGACAAATAAGTAAACACTTCAGCCTACTCCTTTTCAAACAAATAATGGAATGATATTTTGTAACGATTGTGAATGTTTGAAATGTTTGAAATAAAAATGAACTGAACTGAATTATCTGGCTAAATAATCCACTGACTTTATATATTTCAGGCTTTGTGTTGTTGTTTACTGTAGTGCCTGAGACATGAAATTTTCAAAAGCTCATCCTACATCAAAGATCTACTGTATGTTCAGTCTAATCAGTTTTATCTCGCTATGCTAAACGTCTAAACACACGCGATCAAGCTCCTGATGCCCAGCTGATGAGTTACTGCTGTAATGACGCTGTCGTACCTCCAGGTTTCTGAGGAGCTCCTGCAGGGTCTCCAGAGAAGTGTTCTTGTCGCAGATGAAATTCTTACGAACCGTCTCGTGTTCCTTCTGCAGAGCACTGTACGTCTCGTTGGCCTCCTTGAAAAACTAAATGCACACGTGTGTAAGCATATGTGATGTGAGTTTCAGGAGAAAACACGCACAATTTGTGAAATACTGAGTGAAATCTAGCATGAAGTTAATTGTAGTTTCCCAGTCTCATTATGATAAGTAAACAAGCAATTTTTATGTGTACATAACAACTGAAAAGCTGAAAGCGAATCAAAATGCTAATGTAGCAACAAGAAATCAGAGGTGTCATGGTGCATCTTTTACATGCACTCTTATTCACAGTGTCCGTCAGTGTGACTGACTCCTGCAGGTTCATGTTTATTAGAGTAGCTTTAAGTTACCTGGCTGTACGCTAAATTCTCCTTCAGGTGAGTGTCGATGCATTTTGTTATTTGAAGGAGCCAGCTCCACTGAGTCTGCAGGGTGTCACTATAAGCCTGAAGAGAATGCACAAGCACACAAACACTGGAAAAAAAGCCAAGCTTTTACTTGCAGGTTTATAACTAGTTGTTTTTGGACTGAGATTTCTACTTCTGATCGCTCCAGACCTCGATCTTGTCCGATGCAGGGTGGTCATTCTTCAGGAGGTTGTCCACTTTGGCCTTCAGCCTATTCAGATCCTTTTCTTTTACTTCCAGGGCACTCATCAGTTTCTGTTATATAAGAAGAGGTGGATAATCACAGGGACACAGGAAAAACATCAGGATGCAGCAAGAGGGAAGTTCTGTGGCTTCGCTGTAAGTGGATGACTAATCGCAGCTGCCAAAATCCAATCTACCACAGATGATTGCTCCCTTATGAGATGCAGATTACTACATAAAAGACATCAGCGCCATTTAGGCTCAAGGAATTGCCAAGAATGTTTATTGCCTAAAATGAAGCTCGTAAAATTGGAAATTAAAAAGTGGATTTTTTGCAGCATCTACTGAATCCAGCTCTATATTTGTTCCCTTGTGATCCGATGTTTGACTAACCGAGTAGCTCTCCTGCTTTCTGGGGATATACTGGTCAATGTTCTTGTCTCCCCAGTCAAACATCAGTTCCTCTTCCTCCTTCTCATTCACCCACATGATCTCTTTGGATATTTCCTGAATGATCTGCTGGAACTCTCGCAGCTGCTGGGTCCGATCATGGGACTTTTTCTAGCAGGGTTAAAGTGAATCAATTTAATACAAATCTCTAGCGATTAACAGGGAAATACACGACACAGAGATAATATTTAGTTTCTTCACCTGGAGATTGTCCCATTCCTGATCCAGAGCCTTAAGATTGGCTTTGTCTCCTGTCTTCATCTGGGGGAAGAGAATGAGTCAAATTATGTGTTTCAAAATAAAGTGATGTGTCAATATTTGCAAATGCTAATAATCAAAACAGATACTAATAATAACAAATCGCTATCTGACCAATAGCGGATCATTTTTATTTGTTTAGGTTATTTATCTCTTTACCCTGTGATCTTCTTTAACACTGGTTTAGTTTTGTGACTTTAAATATCCCAAACAATAGATCAACGGAGCTTCTGTTTGAAGCAACAGTGAATCTCAGCATCGTCTCATCATCACAGCATTGATACTGAACCTGCTGACTGAACCCACCAGGTCATCTCTGGCTCGATCGAACTCGACGCTCCTCTGGATGGAGCTGTGAAACCTCTGGTGGCTCATGAGCTGCTGCTCGATGGCTGCAGGATCGTCTCCCCATGAAGCTGTTTCAATCAGACGCTGCACGGAGTAGATCGAGTTTTAGAGAAGACTTCAGACACAGGCACTTCATGTCACCAGCAGGTGGCGGCAGAGATACAAGTTAAACCAGCAATTTGCTGGTAAATTCATGCACCACTTGGGGTCAAAGATCAGCAATCCACTCAGAAAGAAATGATTTAGCACTGAGTGTAAAACAATAGCTCCTTTTAGCTTCTATTTGTACTTAACCACAATGAGCACATGATCCCTTAATACTGTGTCTACACCAACATAGCAGAGCATTCTTCTCTATGCTCTGTGTTAAATGCTGTGAATGTTGTGTTATCATAGCGATCATGGTTCAGCGAGATCTGTCATTTGGTTTACCGACACCTTTTATTACACTGTCATAAAGTGACACGGCACTTAACCATCTAGTTAGTGGGTATTAATGTCACTTTTGTTGTTGAAGAAGTAGGTCTTTCTTTCACTTTAGGTTTATTTCACAAAGATTTATTTTGTGTAAAGTGTCTGTTTCTCCAGTTAAACATAAAAAATACTTTTTCTTGAACTGTTTAACAATTTTAATTATTTTAATGTAGTTGTTCACATTTTTAGTGTGTTTAAAGAACTATAATATATTAAATATACTGTGGAGCATTTTAACTTCTGTTGTGTTTAAATGTGCTATGATATGAAATGAGCTGATTATCTGTTGTGTGTAACAAACGTCTCTGACTTACTAATGTGACAAATTACATCAACTTCTCTTAATCTGAAAAAATGAAGGCTGGTGTTAACCGAAATCAGGTGATCAAAATGCAACAATTTTAGGGTATTTAAGACTGAAATAAATGCGCAAAAAACCCTAAAAAAAATAAAAAAAAAAAAAAAAAAAAAAAAACAAGCCTCCAACAAATCTTTTGAAATGTAAATGTTGCCTAAATTTCACCGAATATTGATTTTTAGTAGATTTCTTAGCTTTTAAGTATATTCTTCTCGACCCCCCCAAGTTCGGGTGCTTGACCACCATCTACTGCAGGTAACGCACAGTTTAATGCACACTGTAGTAATGCCCCTCAAGCTTTACCAAGACACCTTAACACAGGATTCCTTAAAGGGCTCATGAATGTCAGAAGACTGATCTTCAAAAGCACCTGCAGGTGCACGTTAGGTATTAAGTTGGGTGTGTCTATACACGCCTTTTGCTGTGCAATCCAGCCAATAGCATCATGATAGCTCCTTCCAGGTTCCTCCCAGCCAACGGAGCCCCCCTTGGTGCTCTTCCTTCTCTGCGTGGTGCCTGAGATGGCCATGTGGACCCCCTTCAGCTGGCTATTGTACATCTCCACACTATGGATTAGAAAACAGAAAAAGATGAGACTTGGAATGAACAGCATATGCTATACAAAGAATATATTTTTATAAAAATTCATGAAATCTCTGTTTGTCCATCCATCTGTCCGGTCAACAAACATTCATCCCATCTGCTTTAAAAATGGGAGATTAATTACTGACTGCCTGAGGAAATTTGGACTAAGTTTAAAGCTTGAGATACATTCACTATCCTTTTGAACAGCAACTGAATTACTTAATTACCTGCATGTGACGCATTCAAGAGACAGTTACATTTCAGCGTCAAAATCATGGGTGACACTGACCTCGGATGGGCACTGTTCTAGTAAAAGAAAACTCAGATGATTAAGACAGAGAGAGAAATCTGGCCTTCCTTACCTTCTCATTACGTTCTCATTAGGCTGTCCCATCTGCCTCAGGTCGGCCCCGCAGCTCTTCAGATTTTGAATGGCCTCTTTGGCCATCCCCATGAAGTACTCGGCCTCACTCGGGTTTCCACCCTGCAATACACAGACACAAGGAGGTGTACAAATCCAGAAAACTGAATGGGCACATTTGGAGTATAGATGTCTTTTGTCCTTGTTGAGCTTTAGATTGAATTATTTCCATTTAGAAGTGCCAAAAAATGTCAAAACTTCAGAAAAACAACTTTTACAACCCACGGAAGAAGATGATTTATGACAAGGACAAAGCGGTTGTGATAGTCTGCCGATATAAGTAGTCAACAAGACAATAAATCACACGCCCACAAATTTTAAGGTGAGTTTTGCACTTGCGATGAACTTCACAGTAACATAAATAATTCATGATAGGTTGCTTAACAGCTAAACTAAGGAAGGGTGTAAATTTAAAGTGGACTGACAGTTGCAATACTGCTCAAGGGGCCAGTTCTAAAAATCACATCCAACAGGGAGTTAAACAAAAATGAAACATTATCTATCTGGTGTCTCTCACAGATTCTGACCGTACACCAAAAGCCTACACATCCAGCTACTCCAATTACATTTCTGTCATTCTTTCTGTTTCTTTTTGCCTCAGAGGACAGGCTACAACACTACACTCTTCATGTGAAATAAAAACCCTCCTGACTGGGCTAACTGACTTTTATCTGCACTTCTAGCAGTAAAAGCGCAAGAAGTAACACAAAAAAGAAAAGAAAACACAACTCACAGCTTGAATGTAGTACTCGGCTTTCTGCAGGTACTCGTTGCACTGGCTCTGCAGGATAGCGGCCTTCTGGTTGATAGAAGTAAGTGTAGAGCCACTGTGGAGGGCAGCGAAGTAAACTCATTAACATTAAGATCTTCAGCTTTAACTATTACCAAAATATTCCCAGTTACCGCAGTGGTTCCCAGTTTTTTTCACCGTGTGTTCCCCTAAAACAAAGCAGTGTCTCCTTTTGCCCTTTTTGTCAAAATATCATCAAAGACTGAATTTCCCTTCTCAGATTGTTTCATTTGAATGTAGCTGTTTTTAGGAAAAGATAAAACTGTACATTAGTTATTTAAATAAATGTTAAAGTTTTTCATGGATAAGTCCTAACCCCAGTCTAAGTTGGGGCAAAGACTCCCGCCTCTCTTTCCATCTGTTAACCTTTAACTTCATTTCTGTTGCAAGTTTGCAGACATGCATTTCATTTACAAGCAATCTGGGAATTTTGATTGTATCATCATGCAGGTGTGGAACCTTGTATATGTATATCATCATAATCCACAAACTGAAAAGATATGGTCATGGTTATGGCTAGATTTTTCAAATACATTAGCTAAAAAAATACACTGCAACGGATTACATCAGTACGGGCTCAACAGCTGGTGTGTATAGTCAACATTCATACACAATGTGCCAAAGAAACTCTTTTCACTGCTATTATAAACATTACAATTTTCTTTTAATATTGTTTTAGGCTTAATTTGATAGGAAAGCACTGCAGGCACGCAGGAAAGTGAGGGGAAAAGTCTGGAGCAGACTTGAACACAGATCTTTAGTGGGGCCTTTGGTATATGGGCTCAAACACACGAGCTGTGGCAGCAGCCACAAATCTAAAAATTTAGAAAAATAAGTGTTGTTATGATAGAGATCTCTCTGTTTCCTAGAAACAAGGAGATATAGAGACAGAAAAAAGCTATCACCCCAGATAACCAGTTATTACTGCTGCTTATAGTACGTGTTTTCAATTCTGAGGTACTAAACTATTTATGCTGGCTGTATATGAGCAAAATGTTTTGTACAGTCTGAGCTGAAACTCAGATAAGCATCCAAATATCTACAAAATACACTTTTCCTGAAACCTGCTCTGGTTTTCACAGACACACATACAAACTACAATGTTGACCTCATTCTAAAATATGCATAAAGACCCACTGTATGTATCTCTATTATCAATTTTATTGACCAGTTTTGATATACTTGTGTTATCACATATATCATAACTATTGCCCTAAAAATCTAAGCTGACATTGTCTTATTTAACTAGCTATGAATGAGGGCACTGTTTCCAAATAACACCTGTAATATCTCTGTCATCTCTACACTTGTATTTCTTGTTTTACTTACCATCCAGAAAAAAGTGCTACCAGCTATAATAAACAATGTAATAAACGTACTTATATTTGCCATAAGCTGCCCCAGGCACTTTTCCCTTAATCACAGGGCTTACATGAGTACCTTATCTCAAACATCACTCCCTGATATAAAACTATCAAAGCCATAAACGAAGTTGCTCTGACTCACAACTGAGTCAGAGCAACTGCCCGTTCCTCAAAGTGCGGGGTCAGAAACACAACCCTTGTGCTGCTGATAGAGTCGCATGTGTTAAAGCGACACGCGTGTCCGTGGGTCTGTGAAGCAGCAGAGGGAGGCGGCAATTTAACGCGGACTGTAAATCTCGTTTCTCCCCGGGGAGGTTTGCTCCTGTGCAGAGCAGAAGCTGAGGAACAATTGAAAAGACGTGCCAAAGACAACAGCTGTATGTCAGCATCACGACGTGTATCACTGCGCATTATCAGTGCGCATGATCAGTAATCTGAATTAAACATCACTTTATTTTGTTTTATACACAATTACCACCAGCTTTGCTTCAGTGTTACAAAACAAGTGGAAATGCTGTTACTTTGCAGAACAAGAACATTTCCCTGTAATTATACTCTTACGGGCTGATGTGCATTGAATTGCTTTGTTCGCTTTTTTAAAGGCCAGTGAGTATCGGGTGTTTTTAGTGTTTGCAGGGCCCAAAAAAACAACACAGGCTGTCACGGTTAATAGTTAATAATCTATCGTGCGCTGCAGTTCACACATTGGCCACAGGTGCAAAAAGAAACGCAAAACTTGTGGAAGATAGAGTTTAAATTCATACCCCATTCCGCTGATCGCCCCCCCGCCGGCGCCGCTCATCGCCCCCCCTCCCATGCTGGCCCCACGCCACGTCATTCCTCTCGTGGTTCCGGCTCTCATGCTGCTCGCCATTCCGCTCGCCATCCCACCTCCCTTCACGGACTTTGAATAGGTGAAGGTTTTGTGTCCGTCGTGTCCGTACTGGTCGTATCCGTTACCCCCTCCGTGGAAGCCGTCGCTCCGTGCGTACTGGTAGGTGGATTCTCCAGTCAACTCTCCCCTGGAGTTGGCCCCGCGGAGCATGTTCAGGGCCTGCTGAGACCCGTACGCTGACATGGTGACCAGAGAACTGCAGCCTCGGCGGCTCCACAGAAGTTACTGGACGAAACTAAGTGGACGGAAACAACCTGACAGGTTGCCGCCCTCTCTCTCTCTCTCTCTCTCTCTCCACTCTGTCCGCCCTGGTCCCTCCGGTGCAGACTGCAAACCGAGAGCAGGACGGGACCGTTTTTGGAGCCTTGTGACCACACCTCTCTGTCTGTCAGCCAGAAACTTTTTTCTTTCTCTATCTCTCTTTCTGCCACTCCCCTGTCTACTCAGCTGGAGACAGTGTGTGTGTGTGTGTGTGTGTGTGTGTGTGTGTGTGTGTGTGTGTGTGTGTGTGTGTGTGTGTGTGTGTGTGTGTGTGTGACCCTAAGGTCCACAGGTTTGAACACCTCGCAAATGCAGGACGTTTTGAAACATTATGACATTTTTATTTTTGCTTCAATAAAGACAGCTCGTTTTTGGAAAGCATGGGTATGTTATGGAAATCAGAGTCTGAGAGGAGCATTTGGCAAACAGAGACAGTTTTAAAAGCACAGTTTGAGAAAGCGGATCAGAAGATAGCATTTGAACAGAAGGCGATCAGCATTTGGAAAGTGATGCAGTTCTTTCTTTTTTAAAATAACGATGTTTCTGAAAAGTCAGGTTATGTGTGTGCTTTAGTAAAGTGGGGTTATTTTTAAAGTGACTGATTATGAGAGCGAGTTAGAGATCATCCCAAATTGGAAACTTGAAACTTACAACTTGTTAGTTAGTGTCAAGTTGATGGATTACTCATGGTGGCAGTTCTAGTTAAGGAATGAAGTCGATTGCATCCTCACAATTATAAAGCAGAAGAAGGAAATGCTTGTATTTGCCAGGATAGCTCAAATGTACACACTAATTATTTGAAAAAAAAAGTATTGTATATACAATATGCTCAACATACATGATTCAGTAAAAGGACTAGATTATATACTAATGCGATCAGTGCTTAGATTTGTATTTGTTTAAGTATGGTTTTCCCTTGACAGATGTGCCTAGGATATAAAAACAACTGCTTTTAGTTACATTCCTAGTTTAACAACATCTGTAGTATTAAGCAGAAACTAGTAAAGTAATGGCTGTAATAATCAAAGGCCTTAAAGGCAAACTGCTTAAAGTACAGATAATACATCCAGTACACCAGGTGATGCATCTTTTGAAATTTAAATTAAAACAGCTGCCGAGGTATCGCTCACTCCTCTTCTCCACAGGTGTCTTTAAGTCTTTCCATGCCCCTCCCATCTGCTCTCAGTCTGCGTCCTCAACTGAGAAGAAACTCTCTCTTTCTCACACACATTTTAACATTGCTCACACAACTGCCTGCAGGCAATGGGTGGGACTCACTGGAAAAACAGGTTTAGCAGCCACTCAGTAACGACAGTAACACTAAATTTTATTATCAGTGTTTGGGATGTCCATAATCACAGTCGGACCACCTTCCAATTAATGTACTTCTTTTCCCAACAAGTCACTTATTTGCTGTTATTGGTAATATACTCATTTTTTTTTTCAAGCGATACCCACATTTCCCCATTTTAAAGATGCATTCACAGTGAATTACAGGTCACTTTGAGTCCCAGTCTATCTGCACAATCGCCAGTGCTCCACAAAGCGGCTTACTTTGGTTTTGTAAGTTTCTTTTCTTTCAAAATGACTCACCAGCTCAGCTTAAGCCTTTTGAACTCTTTGCTGTGGAGTTTCAGCAGAGATACAAATTGCTCTCATTGCTCACGTTTTTTTCTTCTTCACTAATGTACAGTCTTTGTTCAAAAGTAGGCAGTGTGACCTGCCTTGGCTTTAAATGTGTTAGCAAAGTGGAAAATTGTGAATAACTGCAAAGAAATTTCTTAAATCATAGACTTTAATTTATAAACTAATCAAGAGTGTTAAAGCATTCCTCTCCCTTTTTATTTTTATAGAATAAACACTATAATATGTTTTTGTAGCTCTGCAGATGCCTATTTTGTTTTTTGAGACTTTTTGCATATATTTCTTAGTTTATAAACTTATCTAATTTTTACATAGAATTTGTGTAAAGTTACTGTGTGTTTTAATGCAATCAAGTGTAGCACGCCTGATTTAATTGTTTTCTGTGTAATCTAATAGCAGCAAAGGCTTTCTATTCTATTGTCTATTCATCTGGCTAAACTGCTTTACTTTAAATTCATTATTTTGGAAATTGTATTTAATAATTTTGTACCTGACACATGAAGCAGGTTCAACAACTGTCCTGGGTCACCACAGGTGTTGTGTTACCTTGAAACATTTAAAATTTCTGTTTAAAGATGTTTTACATACTGAACGCTCTTGTTTTTCTTAATGCCTTTGCATTGCTTTTGTGCTAATGTAACGACACAGTGTCACTTTATAGACTTCATATATATGTGTGTGTTTCTGTAATCTAGTCACAAGACACTAAAATAAAAGTGCTCTTTCCTCAGATTCTGTTTCCCCTGATTAAATTAAGGTTGTCCAGATCACAGTCGTTTAATGGGAGGCCTAGCCAGCAGCACAAATCTTATGCATTAAGGAAAATTTAGTATGAGAAAGAAATGATGAGCAAAAAACTCTCTTCAAAACCAGAAATACCAACAATGAAGAGAGAGCCACTTAGTGGGTTTGCGGTTTTTGAGCCACAACAATCATGTTTCAGAAATATGTCTTTGTGCATAAGGAGCTCACTCATAGGAAAGAACATCCTAATGACTTTGACCTAAGGCTGTCTGCAAGCATAAATACTGGTGATATGGACCGGCACCCTACAGCCTGAGGAGAGTCTCCCTACACTAACTTATAAACTCAGCAACCTTTGCAGAATGTAGCATGTATGTGTTTGGAAATGAGTGGGATTGTGAGTTATGTACGAGCAAACAGGAGGGAAAGTGCAAGCGATTGCGAACAGTAGTGTTTGTTTGCTGGTATGATTTATTACAAAGACTTGTTTTCCATTAGCTCAAGTCTAATTGCAGACTTGGTGCTGATGATAGAGTGGAAAAGAATTTTTGGGAACCAATGACACACCAGGATGGTCTTACAACTCCCAGGGCTTATGTGTGCTTGCCTTTCTGTGAGTAACTGAAAGGTAATAAACTGGTCTAACATTTTCTCCGGGAAAAAAAAGAAAGAAGTCCCACCTTAACTTTGTTATTCCCTTTGGCGAATAACATTCAAGAGCACGCCTTTGCCTGCACATAAACACAGATTTGCCAAAACGACATTCCTGCACTACCCTTCCCCTATCTTTAAAGCTAACCCTTTTCAGCCCTGAAAGCTCATTTGTCACTTATTTAGTGTGAATTAACTTTATTTGTGCAGGTCTAATTCACAAGAACAGTAATCTATCAATAATATAATCTAAAACTAGATTTTCTTTAATAATGGATTGGATTTATATAGCGCTTTTCAAGGCACCCAAAGCGCTTTACAACACCACTATTCATTCACTCTCACATTCACACACTGGTGGAGGCAGCTACGGTTGTAGCCACAGCTGCCCTGGGGCAGGGTGACAGAAGCGAGGCTGCCATATCGCGCCATCGGCCCCTCACCAGTAGGCGGCAGAGTAAAGTGTCTTGCCCAAGGACACAACGACCAGGGCAGAGAGCCCGGGGATCGAACCGGCGACCTTCCGGTTACAGATACGCTTCCCAACCCCCTGAGCCACAGTCGCCAAAAATTGCGACAATATTAAAAAAAGGAACACCATCTACAGAACCAGGCTCAGGAAACACTGTCATCAGCCTCACCTCTGTGGTTGAGGATAAAGGAAAAGAGAGAAAAGAAGTCCTGACTGATAATGATAAATCATAGAACCCCAGGTGTGCGTGACCATGGTCATTTTCTTAAAAAAGAAAGGCATGTAAGATTCTGTAAGTCAGCCACTAAATTCTCCACATTTGTTTTGTGTGAGCGTTTGATCCTTTTTTGTCCTCTGGGTGAATCAGTGAAATCATTTTAGGGCATGTTTCTGAGGCGTGGTGAGAATTTCCACCTTCTCCTATCTCCTTTCATTCCATATTTCTGGAGACAGGACAAGGCTTGCAAATAAGTTTCTACGGTAGCCAAAATATGTAGAAGCATGTTAAAAAAGGTGCAATCCTAGAAAATGAGTCAGTACAGCTCAAACATTAAAAAAAGAATAAAGATGCTTAGATCTGAACAAGTTCAAAGAGCAGACACTTCGTTTTCAGAAATTAGTCTGAAACTTATTCATGTTGTCATTTTTAAAACCATAACAACTCCACTGATCTTTATTCTCCGGGTGGGACCTCATCTAGTTCAGAACATTCAAGCTGAAAAGAATCCCGACTCTCACTTCATAAGCTTCATATTTCAACCTTCCAATTTCTCAGAGTTTCCTATCTGTCCCTTTCACTGTCAGTGTTGCTCCTTCCCTGCATTGCTGCTCTTTTAACCTCTCCACAACCCAACGTTCACCTTTAGGTCCTGGGGCAATGCAACATGTATTTTCCACAGTATGATGAGCCTAAACATCAGCTGTATTTTGCTGCTGAATTCCATTATTTAAAATGTTGGTTGTTTGTTTTTTAACTGAAAAATTGAAATATTTGAGATATTTACGGCATGCCTAATTTTACAGAAAACAATCACTGGTAAACATCAAGGGCCACAAATGCCAAAGTTAGAAATTTGAAAGTGAGTAAGGGGGGCCATCTAACAGGAAAGGAGACAGATGCTCTTCTATGTTTCCATTCATCCTTATGTAAGTGATGAGTCTGCTTTGAGTTTAAGGGTTGGGCACACGTGTGCCCAACCCTTAAACTCAAAGCAGCTGCCTATTGCATAAAATTATCAAATAAAATAAGGGCTGGGCAGCCCAACCCTTGTTATTTTTTTAATATAATTTTATAGAATTTAATTTCAGTGGAAATTGGTGGATTTGTTTGTGGAAGACAGGTAAAGCCTCACATTTTCTGTGTGCATGCTGAGCTATTAAATATGCATTTGCAGTGCACCAACAGCAAACTTGTTTTCTTTAGGAAGCAGGTCGTCTACCAGTGTTGATGATTCTAATACATAAATACTTTCTGCGCCTTGAGTGAATTAACTAACAGAGTTTATCCACTTTTAGTAACAATCAGTTAAAAGAAATCCTGAGACCAAATCTCCAGAGCTTGTATTGCTACTGTGCTGCTGGCTCACCAACTCAGTTTAGTTGACACTGTGATC